AAAAAAAAAAGACAGTAAACAACAAAAGCTGGGATGTGGAACGACTGAAACTCTCATACATTGTTAATGGGATTATAAAATGGAGTAAACATCATGGAAAACAATATGGCATTTCTTTAAAAAGCTCCAAGTAGAAATTCCATTTGATCCAGCAATCCTATTACTAGGCATATGCTTCAAAGAAACAGTGATACTGAAGAATTCACAAAATACTGCATAATATGAAGAATTGAGAGGACATTATGTCGAGTGAAATAGGTCAGTCACAAAAGGACAAACATCATGTGAGTACACTATTACATAAAAAGCTAAAGGAAGGTTTATACACAGTGAAAAAGACTGTGATGGTTACCAGGAAAAGGAGGCCAAAAGGAGGAGAGGAAATCTCATTAACTAGATAACAGAGACATTAATTCAGCTGAGTGACAAGAAAGGCAATATATAATAAGGAGGTGAAGAGTACAACAGAAAGGGAAAACAGAGAGGTTCACAAGATACACAGACAAAAAGGTAAAGACATATACATCCTTATAGTTCAAAACTCAAACTCACTGCAGTGGGGTTAATCCCACTCACAGTAACCCTCCACTGGGCCTCCTAGGCTGTACATGTTAACAGGAACAGGCTCCCCGTCTTTATCCTATCAGTAATGAAAAACATGAATCTACAAGTGAATATGTAGGCAGGTGTGCAAGATGAAGTAGGAAAATGCAGGTGAAGGGGAGCTACAACCACATAGGTTTGGCAGGTGGTATTTCTACATGGATATTGCATATGCTAGAAATAGGTCCATGTATATAGTAGAACCAAACGGGGCAAAATTATTTAAGTTTTTCTAATTATAACCAAATATCCTGAGGGATGAGTTGACAGTCTAAGGACCTCAGAACTATAATTTCTGAGGATATCCAGGTCAGCTGGCAAAAGTGTTCAAAAAGATTGTACTCTACCATCCTACTTTAAAATTAGCCTGCAGTCATCTAAGAAACAAATACTGGTTTCTCCCTACCAGGAACAAAGAAGACAGAAGCAAATCAAAGACTAACAGAAACAATTATTGCAAAGGGCTAGGGGGTCATCAGATCACAACCCTGTAACTTGAGTCCAGAAGAGTATTAGATGGTGCTTTGCTGACTACTCTAAAAGGGATCACAGGAGAAATGTCTTGGACAAAGCAGGAGAAAAATATGGATCAAAACTCAAAATCATGTAAATGGTCAATCTCACTGGTCAAAGATAGGCTGGTGGAGCCCCCCAGACTACGGCTCTTAGGTATCCTTTGAGCCTGGAAATAAACACACCCTGCTGGCTCGATTCTCATCCATAGAACAGCTGACAAATCTATCAAGTGAACAATCACACGGAGAAATACTCACTGTGCAGAACAACCAACCATACCAGGTCAAAAAAGGGCAGCATTTGCCCAGAGACTAAGCTAAGAAGGCAGAAAGCGGCAGGACAGAAGGATTCAGGAAGCAAGACTCACAGGAGGAACCAGCAGAGGCAGAGTGCAATCCCATGGGTTATTCTAACCAATGTTCCAAAAACAAAATGTGTATCATTATTTGAATGGAAAATCAATTTACTCTGAAAATTTTAACTCAAATCACACACACACACACACAATCTAAAAATTGTTTTAAAGAGAATGAAGAAGTTCTTAAGCAATTTGCCATACTACTCATCTATTGCATCAGAGAACTTACCTTTTTATTCCCTGAAAAGTACTGCTTGCCATATCTATGATGCCTCCTGTTGGCCTTGCCACTGCTCCAACTAAACCTTTCCCAACACCTTTAAAGAAGCCAGCTGCTCCTTCTTTCTGAGCCCCTAAAAAGGGGAAAAAAGATAAATCTTAAAACAAATGGAACAAGAATGAGAATAGAATCAACTTAGGCAGAAAGAGGTAATATGTACTGCTCAAAAGGACTAGATACTTGCCTTTGATTGGTTTGGTCACAATTCCTGTTATGCCACTTACAAAACCCTAGAGGAAAAGCACAATTGGAAAACTGTCATAGTCTCCTGTGATGCACCTTTATGAACCAAGTCTGCCATATACAAAATAATAGCATTCTGCTTAATGGATACCCTAGAATCAACACGTTTTCCTCATTATTTCACTTAAAAATGCTTTTACAGACCACTACCAACCGTTTCTTACACATCTACATTAAACTTTATACAGATTGGCAGTTAAGTATGTTTTCTTTAAATGCAGAATAAAGGCTTAAAAGATATCACAGTAAATGTTCAGAACCCTGTAAAACTTACAGAGACTAAACCTTTTCCTCCACGAGTGATGCCTTCTCGAAGACCAGTTGGTTGCTTATTCATGGCTTCTCTTCTCTTCTGCTGGTAGTCTTCATCCATGGTTATAGCTGCTACTCCTTTAGCCATGGCACTGGTGATTTTGGAGGCAGCACCAGCCAATCCACCTGGTAAAAACGATACATGTTTAGTAAAAGCATGCAGTCATTTTCTAGTACAATGGTAACTGCTAGTTGTTATATTTCTTACCAACAGCTCCTCCAACTAGGGCCTTAAGTCCCAGTGCCATTCCCTCCACGAACTCTTCAGGACCTTGAATGGCTCCCTGAAGAGTCAACAAGAGAATAAAGTTATATTTACATTAAAGATAAGTTATTAACACACATGAGGCAAGTGACTGTGATAAACAGGATGACGATATCCTAGAGGAAGACACACTAGCAAAAATCCCACAACTAAAGAAATACTCAGAATGATTTCACAACACTGAAAACAAATAAGGTAAAATGTTGGAAGCTGATCCAAACTTAAAAAGGAGCATGACAATTTATCAAACTGTAGAAAGATGCTTGTTCCCTATTTTAAGGTGTTAAGCAAGCACAGCTCAAACTAATCATGGTTAACTATTAAAAAGAAATCACACTCTCATTTGCAGTGTTTCTAATATTATAAAAATCTTATTTTTATATTTTTAAAATTATTATCCTATATATTGGGAAAGGTGCTCTGGTGACCTGAGGGCAAGAAACAGTGCAGAGATCCAAATGCACATGGTTGGAATCCAGCAGCTGCTCTGTGGGAAAACGATGGCCCCCTCTCCCCTTGTGATTAACCACCTCTGAAAACCCACCAGAGCAGCAGTGATAGGTCGGTTCCAACTCAATGGCACACAACATTTATTTATAGCTGACAGACAAGAAAAGAGTTTTTAAAGCTTTGGTTAGTATCACAATTTGAGACTGTCAAAAAAGCTCCCTGCGAGTTTTTAATGTTTTAGTAGAAATTTTCAGGGGTTACAAAAAACTCTTAATTGTTACCATCAGTTTTTAAGACTGTGTCACAAAGTTTCAACTTTATGGTAATTTTCAAGGTTTTTCATTAGTGCAAAAAGCAAGACTGCCTATGCAGAAGGATCTTTTGTCTCAATAAGTTATTCTTTTAAAATCCAACACAAGACTTACAACTCTATATATGTTTGCCAAATCCTAAGTTTAAATTTTAAAGGAAAAAGATAGAAACTTCTAAAAACCCAAAACCTTTTACTTTTGCTGTAAAATAATCAACTGTGTTTCTCAAACATCTATTTAATACACAAAGCAACAGAAATATATCATAAAAATTCATTATTGAAAAGAATGAGAATGATATAACAAAGGATAGCAATTTTACCTGATAAGGTTCATAAAAAAATGCTTCTACACCTTCAGAAAATTCTCTAATTAAGCCAAAGGGATTTCCCAAAACTTCAAGTCCAAGGATGAGTACATACATCTGCTTAATGGCCTAAAAAAGTATCAGTGTTAATTAATTATAAAAGTCAGATTTAATATTTTTCTTATTCACAAGACTATTTCATATACACATCTAGTTATTATGGCTAGTAATCCTTATCACCAATTTATCTTCTAAATCTTTTTACCTTGTTGTTGTTATGTGCTGTCGAGTCACCTGCGACTCATAACAACCTTATGTACAACAGCCCTAAACCCTGCTCTATCCTGTACCAACTACATTGTCTCCAACACACTTACTCTCCAACTCCCACTTACTCCAATAACTCAATCAATCCACCTCATTCGAAGGTCTTCCTCTCCTGCGCCATCCCTCCACTCTCCCACACATGATGTCCCTCTCCAAGGACTAGACCCTCCTTGCAACATGCCCAAAGTTATGTCAGATGAAGCTTCACAAACCTTGCTTCCAAGGAGCAACCTGGCTTCACCCTCTAAACCCGTTTGTTCTCTTAGCAGTCCATGGTATATTCAACACTCTTCTCCAGCACCACAGCTCAAAGGCATCAATTCTCTATCATCCGTAGTCACTGTCCAGCTCTCTGATGCATAGCATGCAACTGCGAAAGACGATAGCCCTGATCGGGGGCACCTTAGTCTCCAGCCTGACGCTGTTGCTCTTCAGCACTCTGGAGAGGTCCCTGAGAGATGACTTTCCCAATGCAATTTGTCTCTTGATTTCCTGGCTGCTGGTACCAAGAGTGATGACTGCGGAGCCAAGCAAACTAAAACTGTTAACTATATCAATCTCTTCACTATCCATTCTGATGCTACCAACTGACCCAATGCTGAGAATCTGTTTTCTTGATGTGTAGCTTCAATCCATATTGAAGGCTGCAGTCCTTGACCTTCTACAGCAAGCGGCTCAGGTCCTCCTCAGTTTAAGTGAGCAGAGTTGTGTCATCTGTATAACGCAGGTTGTTGATGAATCTTCCACCAATCCTGATGACATATTCCTCCTCGTACAGCCCAGCGTCCCAGATGATCTGTTCTACATACAGATTGAAATGGTATGGAGACAGAATACATCCCTGGTGGATACCCTTTCCAAATCTGAACCATGCAGTGTCTCCCTGCTCTGTTCTGACAACTGTCTCTTGGTCCAATTACAGGTTTCGCATTAGCACAATCAAGTGTTCTGGGATTCCCATTCTTCTCAGAGTCAGTCACAGTTTGTTGTGATCCATAGTCAAAAGCCTTTGCATAGTCAATGAAGCACAGATAGACATTCCCCTGGTATTCTCTGCTTTCTGCCAAGATCCATCTAACATTAAAGATCCATCTAACATTAGTTACAATATCCCTAGTATCACGACCTCTTCTAAACCCATCCTGTACATCTGGCAGTTCTCTGTTGACATGTTGTTCCAGTCATTTTTGGATAATTTTCAGCAGAAGCTTGCTTTTAATGATATTTTTCAATAATTTCCGCACTCTGTCAGGTTACCTTTCTTTGGAATGGGAACAAAATTTTTACTTTATTCTTGGAAATTCCTAGTTTAAAAAAAACCCCAAGAATTTGGTTTTATAAACTGAGATAAAATGGCATGATATTTAGATAAAACTTCAGAATATTTAGAATACTATGTATGAATGCTTTTGTGAATACCATTTAATAGAATGGAGTAATAGATATATCAACCGACATCCGGGATCACAACAAGAATAAATGGCAAAACTGGAATCCAAACTTAGATCTCCTGAGCCCCTGTCAATGATCAGTCTATAATACCACAACTGCCTCAGATGTTCAGTAAGTAATATCACAAAAGAGATCACACTCTCTCCAAGTGTGAAAAAATGTACTAAAATAACACATCTCACTAAACAACTCAGTTACATTAAAAATACTCTGTATTAATCAGTTATCAACTATTCATTTCTGCTGTGCCTACTTTTTAAATTAAGCTCAGTTTGGTGAGTTTTTTTGTTGTTTTAGGTACCATCAAGTCAAAGACAATTCATATTCGTGTCCCTATTAACAACAGACCTGAACCCATCCTGTGCCACCTTCACAATCTCTGACATACTTTAGCCCATTGCTGCAGACACTGTGCCAATCCAACTGGTGAGTCTTTTTCTCTTTCGCCATCCCTCCACTTTCCTAAGCATGATATCTCTCTCCAATTTAAAGTAATATATTTATTTCTAGACCACTGATCCATAAAATAATTCTAGACACGGCTAAAATACAGAAGGCAACAAAATTCAAATATGAATTTTAAAATTTTACAATTCCGAGGAAATAAAAAAGCTTCAGAATTTTAATAAAAGTTATTTACTTCCTTGCCAGAGCTACAAAATACACATAGCAAACACTTAAAGAGCTGACAGATCTCTTTGTAAGACAATCTCAGACAAACCTGTTTTGAATAATGTCTTATTACTTCAGATTGTAGTTGAGGTGTCGTATGGAACTGATAGTTGAGTTCAAAAAATGCAAGTCTGGAAAAAAATAGGATGTATGAATGTATAAATATATATAAAAGATAAACAGTGAAAAGAGAGGTTGAAAAACAATATACTAAAGAATAGCTTTATTTCCTTTAGAATTTTTCCAAAACTTTTCCTTCTAATACATTTTCTCATGTTGATAAACATATTTGTAAATTTAAGCAGAGTATCCTCTTGAGAATCTTCAAGAAGCTGTGGGTCTACTACTCAGAAAAACTACAGTCATGCATATACTTTTAAGCAACTTAGGGCTTCAGAAACTCTTTTTATTCATTTAGGGACCATTAAGACAGTATTTCTCGTCTGTCCTATCATAGTTTGTGTGGCAAAGATATCCTACATTGAGATAAACAGAAGAGGTTATTCAACAATGATCATGGTGCAGTTATCGTAGTGCCAACCTACTTGTTCACCACCAAGAAATTAAGATTGGATCACTTAGAACCCATTCATATTAGAAATCTTATCCTAGTTCTGGTGCCACTAAGCATAATTTGACTGTTAACTAACTTTACATTTAGAGTTATCTCAGGATTCATGAATTCTTAATACTGTTCTTAATAGTCAGCTCTAGATGTTACTTAAAAAGGTTATTCTCTTCTATAAGGTTGGGTTTTTTTGCCAGATATTCTAGTAGTTATAACTCACAATAAAATATAAATATTTTACTGTAACATTAAATAGGTCTTTTCAATTAGCTTATTAGTGTAACGGTTCTGCTCTACATGAGTGTATGTGTGTGTGTGTGTGTGTGTATGTGTATAAATATATTATTTACACATACAGAGAGAGAGAGAGAGAGAGAGAGATGTTATTGTTGATTGCCATTGAGTCAAGCACAACAAGACCTGAAGCCTTTCTATAACTACTGTGGTTTTCAAAATTAATAGAATTTCCAGAGGCATGGATATACACAGATATAGATAGATAAGCCTGAGAAGTCTCAATACGACTGGCATCCAAGCAACATTTTTCAGTTACTACATCTTGAAGCACATTTTCTTCCCTTAAAAGCAGTGTATTTACATTATTTAAAAAATCAGCACGGTCCATGTTCCTCTTTTTAAAGAAATTAATTAATAATTACGCTATTATTTAGTAGGTAAAAGTAAGCAAAAAATATATGTGTTTTGTTGTTATGTGCTGTCAAGTCACTTGCGACTCATAGCGACCCTATGTACAAGAGCCCTAAATCCTGCTCTATCCTGTACCAACCTCACCGTCTCCAACACACTCCCACCACCCCAATCACAGAACTGATCCATCTCATCGAGGGTCTTCCTCTCCGGCACCATCCCTCCACTCTCCCAAACATGAGTGTTATTTAAATTATCCGAGATAATCACTGTATTTTTTGCCATAAAGTAGTTTTTATACTTTTTCATGAATATGTTTTTAGGTAAACATAAAGCATATTTTCATCAACATATAGGTTTGAATATAAAACATACTTAAAAACTACATCTTGTACATCTGTTAGAGTGGCACCAATACTCTTCAGCAGAAGATTTAATGAATGAACTGGAATCAGGCCTCCATGGTGTTTTGAATCCTTAATTTCTTCTCTACCAGAACTTAGGGAAACACTTAAATGTAACTAAAGACAGGAGACAAAAAACCCAAAAGTTTAAGTTATTTATATTACAAGTAAATAAATTCTAAATTATGTATGAGTCTATAAATTTTTATTAAGTTTTAAAAAGTATATTTACATAGTTGTTCATATATTAAAGTTGAGCAGTTGAAGTTATTGGTAACTCATACACCTCAAAAATTATCTTACAACTGAAGTTAATATGATAAAGCAAACAAAAACCATTTTTGTACTGTCTATACATTTGAATCAAAGGCATGCAGTTCGAAACCACTGCTCCATGGGAGAACAATGGAGCCCCTGTGTGACTTACTGGCTCTGAAAACCTGCTGGGAGGTCAGCTATGAGTCGATTTGATTCCAACTTAATGGCATACGACAACATACATTTTTTTTTTAAATGTTATTACTTTTGTGTGTGTGTACTGTTAAATCATATCTGACTGGTACAGGAGGAGATTGCCCCTCCTTCTCCAGCAAAGCATCTGGTGGATTGGAATCACATACTTCTGGGACTGCATTACAGCTTCTTGCCACTAAGCCACCAGAGCTCCCTGACAACATAAATCTTAGATATTTAACAATTCACTTAAATTTGGTTCTACAAAACTTTATTTAGTGAAGTCAAGAATATTTTTAAATTGCATTCATAACTAACATACACATCAGACAAACAATTTTGAGAACTGTCAGAGAATAAGAGAAAAACTAAAGTGAAATATTTTTAAGTGAAAAACATAAATATGTTGTATGTTGCCCCATTATTATTTAAACATGGTGAAAAATTATAAAGAAAATAATTATAGGGCTATTTATTTTTATTTATTGTTATTTGTAAAAGAAAAATTACAATTTTTAAAAAAATGTTAAAAACATTTTTCAAGTACACTATTTACTTACGTATATTATATTCTTTAAAAAAATACAGTTTGTAAAAAAAAAAAAACAAAACTCAAACGACCAAATAAATTTGAATGTTTAGGTAGCAGTCCTGAGAAAAAGACATCATTCTGGATAAGCCAAACAGAGAAAGGTCTGACTCAGGGGCTGCTGTATCAAGTTCAAGCACAGCGACAATTGTGAGGCATAAGGAACTAGGAGTTGTAACTGATTCGCGGACACTTAACAACAACATCCCCCAAAAGACTGTCAATTTGTTATTACTTAGCATAAGGACAATAAAAAGGACTTATTTTTACAATACCTTGATAGGAGATATATGAAAGTACTCATAAAGACTGACTTGCGATGCATCCACTAATGAAGCTGTTTTATATTCTTCTTGAAAAACTTCTACATCCTTCTGAAAAAGTTCAATCTATAAAGAAACAAAAAAATGTTAAGAACTGAAGAGACTGATCTGCAAAAGATAGGTAAGCCAATGCCCACATAGCACAGAAAACTCCTTTATATAATATTTACTAACAACATCTCTCATGACAGAAAAGTTACTGCCTCACATGGGACTGAAAGAACATGAAGAAAGGCTTAAAAAAAATTCTGCCTGCTTCACACAAAGTTAAGAACATGTCTTCTACGTTTCCATCTAAGTCACTGTAAGATATTAAACTTCCTAAAGTGCCTCCTCCCCACTCCTCCTCCTCCTCCTCTCATTGCCCTCAAATTAAAAGCAACTCATCCCCGACACTCCAGTGGATCTCTAGAGGCTCCATGGGAGAACAACCTGCCATCTCCTCGCATGTGACTTAGTGACTTCGAAAATCTGATGAAGGGTCAGGTATGTGTCAGTTCCCACTTGAGGGCAATGAGAATAACTATCAATCATGAGCATTTCTTCATGTGCTTCTTAGCCATCTTTGGTGATTTGTCTTTTCAAGTCCTCTAACCATTTTTTAATTAGGCTGTTTGTTTTTCTGTTGTTCAGGTTTGGGAGTTTTCAATAAATTTTATGAGACGGTCCTGTTGGACAAGTTGATGAATATATTGTTTTCCAATCTGCAGACTGTTCTTTCATTCTTTTAGGATAGTCTTTTGATGTATATAAGAACTTTTTAAAATTTTTACCTTATTTTTTTATTTCCCTTGTTGTGTACCGTCAAATCAGATCTGACTAGCACAAGAGATTTTCCCCTTCTTCTCTAGCAGAGCATCTGGTTGATTTGAACCACACACCTTAGGGATTGCAGTGTAGCTTCTTGCCACTAGGCCACCAGAGCTCCCTAAGAATTTAATTTTAGAAGGTCTCAATCACCTAGTTTATCTTTTGTTGTTTTTACACTTTTGGTTATGATTGGTAATATATATTTTTTTTGTAATATATTTTTAATATAGATTTATGCCTTTAAGTTTTCTCCTGTTTTTTTTCTTTGATCATCTTTATAGCTTAGGTTTTACATTTAGGTCAATGATTCATTTTGTTTGTTTTCCTAATGTTGAACCAACCTTGCATACTTGGTATGAATCCTTTATTTTTTTTTTAACTGTATTCTTCCTTTCATGAAGTTGAAGTCCACGGGCTAGAATTTTGAATCTTTTTTAACTTAATTTAAAAAAAAATTAATTTCTTAAGTGATCTCTCTTACTGCTGTAGAGTTGGAACCCATGCATTGCTGACCTTCCAGTGGATTTTCAGAGGCTGCATACTGCATAGGAACAGAATGGTCATCTTCCTGCCACAGAGTAGCTGACAGATTTGAACTGCCTGCCCTTGGGCTGGCAGCACAACTCCTTACCCATTAATCCACCAGAGCTTTCTTCCTAATACTGGTCTGTAATTCTTTTATCTTAAGTTTTAAAAGTTTATGGAAGTTGTGTGCTTCACTTTTTCTGTAGGAACTCTTCATGAGCTTGAACTGTTATCTTTTGGTCATTAAACAGCTACAAACAGAAGAATGATAAGGGGCCCAGCTTTGGAAACTCTATGGGATCATACTACTCTTTACTAAAGGGTTAGCCAGAGTCAGAAAAGAATTGAAAGCCAAGAGCTTTGACTGAGATACCATACCCCATCTGGCAATTCTACTCCAAGGCAGAACCAAAGATAAAAATACTAAGTATGAATGCTCACATATGCAGTATTCTCAATAGCTTCAAAGGTGGGGAAAAAAGTGTAAATGCCCATTAACAAAGGGATGGATACAGAAAATACAATATTACTTGGCCATAAAAAAAAGAATAATACATGTGACATGTGTGTCACATGATTGTGCTTAGGCGAAACTTATACTTGCACCAGGAAGCAGTTGTCAGAACAGAGCAAGGAAATACTGCACACTTTAAAATTGGGAAGAGTGTGCGTCAAGGATGTGTCCTATCTCCACTATCTTTTCAATCTATACGCAGAACAGATTATCTGAGAGGCTGGGGTCTATGAGAAGTGTGGCATCAGGATTGGAGGAAAACTTATCAACAATCTGCGTTATGCAGATGATATAACCCTGCTTGCTGAAACTGAGGATGACCTGAAGCACTTGCTGCAGAGGGTCAAGGACTGCAGCCTTCAATATGGATTGAAGCTCAAAGTCAGGAAAGCAAAGATTCTCACCATTGGGCCAATTGGCAGCATCATGATAAATGGTGAAGAGATTGAGACGGTTGATGACTTTAGTCTGCTTGGCTCTATAATCAACACTCTTGGTATCAGCAGCCAGGAAATTAAAAGATGAATTGCACTGGGAAAGTCTGCTATCAGAGATCTCTAAAAGGTACTGAGGAGCAACGATGTCAGTCTGGAGACTAAGGTGCGCCTGATACAGGCCATGGTCTTTGCCATTACTTGCTATGCTTCACAGAGCTGGACAATGACTAAGGATGACAGAAGGAAAGTTGCTGCCATTGAGCTTTGGTGCTGTAGAAGAGTACTGAATATACCATGGACTGCTAGAACAAACAAGTTAGTCCTGGAGAGGATGAAGCCAGCCTGCTCCTTGGAGGCAAGGATTCTGAAGTTTCATTCGACATACTCTGGATATGTTGCAAGGAGGAACCAGTCCTTGGAGAAGGCTGTCACACTTGGGAGGGTGGAGGGATGGTGCAGGAGAGGAAGAGCCTCGATGAAATGGACTAATTCCATCACTGGAATAATGGGGTTAGGCGTGTTGGAGACAGATTGGCAAGGGATAGAGCAGGGTTTAGGGCTGTTGATCGCTATGAGTCACAAGTGATTTAACAGCACATAACAAGAACAACATGATATGGATGAAGTTTGAAAATGTCATGTTATATGAAAAAAGTCTGCCAAATATTGAAAAGGGCCAAATATTGTGTGATTCCATTGATTTAAATGCCTGTAACAGGTACTTTCAGTATGACAGAGAGTTGGTTAGTAATTTCTTAGGGCTAACTCAATGGAAGAAGGACGGAAAATTTCCTTCCATGTGATTCACTGCCTCTGAAAAACCCTGGGGGATCAGCTCCAACCTGACAATAAGCTAACACAGTGCAATTCCGGGATGAGGGGGAATGACGGCAACAGGTTCCGTAGGGAGCAACACTGCTAACCCAGACATCACACCTCTCTGGGGTTTGTACCCTCCAGCTATGAGATGTTCCAACTCAAGGGCAAGGAGGCGAATGGCCACTTATACCTGGTTGCCTCCTGGGTAAGAAGTTGCACTGCCAACTCAAGTGCAGGTGATTAAATCCTCTAGCTGCTTCATTGGCAATGGAAGAGAAGCACAGGTAATCTCAGCGAGAGAACCCACTGGAGGGTCAGGTATGAGTAGGTTCTGATTTGACAGCAGTAAGTTAAGTGAATTAACTATTTACACCCTGTCCTTAAAAATTTCTTCTATAAGAGCATGCATTTTTAACCACACTACTGCTGTGATTTTATAGGCTTTTGATTAGTCATGAAGAACTTATCTTTCTTTCCCAAATTTTACTTATTTACTGATGCTGAGAATATATGCAGGAAAACATGTCTCAATTAAACAGTCTTTATACATACTGTTAGGGGCACTAATCACTCTCTCCTCTGAACTCTTTAACCTTCATTAGCATAGCTCTAATGAACCCTAAGTAACATTACTTTTTACTCTGCCTTATTCCTTTGTTCATGAAATATCATGGTCATAGACTATTTTCTAAATTATTAATCGAAGTCCGTAGAGTAACACAGGACCATAAAAGAGCACATAATTCCGGCGCTGGCTGAAAATCGCCTGTGACTTCATCCATAGCCACTGGTGAGAGTCAGCGCCCAGAGCCATCAGGGGCTTTAAGCTCGTTGCCCACTGCTGTGGTGTGGACAGCTGAAATCCAGGCCCCGACAGGCACCTGGGGGGGGAACACCCCAGACTCTGCTTCATGCTCTGCTGGAGAAGGAGGGGCAGTCTCCTGTACCAGTCAGATCCAATTTG